GATGGTGATGGTGGTGGTGGTGGTGGTGGTGGTGCGTGCCATAGAATTGACTCCAATTCATAGCCACCGCGTATGAAAGGCTAGAGCAGCCCCAGAAACATTTTCAAGGTTGTAGTCTTTACGAGAACAGAATCCTCCTATCTTGCTACTGCAGCGCTACCAGCTGAGTTTGAACCACCAATCTTCCAGTTAGTAGCTGAGCACTTAAGCTCTTCACCCCAGAGCTCCTTACACTTCCTGATCAGTGTCCCCACCTGGAGACAGGGCCTCCCCATGCCTCCCCTAGGGATCAGCCTGGAGATAAGACGAGGGTCTGGCTGCCACTGCCCACACCTGGGACTGATCCCACAGGGCTCAGCTTCCAGGATCAGAGGGAGCTGCCTTCCCCAACCCTCACTCAGCTGCAGCGACCTTTCCCACACTGCCCATTCACCCTTCAGATGCCTGTTGCCCTCCGTGGACACCTCTCACTACACGGACACTGTCATCAGCGATTCAGTGCTCCGCCCATCCTGCCTTCCTGAGCAGCCCTACTTCTCAAGGGACAGAGGAGGCCCTAAGTTCTGCCTTGTGGCTAGCAGCTAGATGTGGCCCTCGGCCAATAGCAAACTAGAATTCATGTTGGACAGATACAGCATCAGGCTGAGGGTCCAAGGGAGGAGTAGAGTCAAGAAACACCAGAATTCCACATAACCGTCCAGCCCCCTTGGGCCCCAGGCCCCTAATCACTACGAGGTGGGAGGTGAGGATGCTCGCAGGTGCTTCAGGCCCTGAGTCTCTGACTCAATTGTAGAACCACAAAGAGGTGAATGAGGAGACCCCAGGTAGCACAAATGCTTAACACACTCAGCTGCTAGCCTGAAGTCCACCCCAAGATATGTCAGAAGGAAGGCCTGGTCATCTATTTCCAAAAAGGCCAGCCATTGAAAGCCCGATGGCACACAACTCTTCCTGGACACCTGTGGGGTCACCGTGAGTCAGCAACGACCAGACCGCACCTGGCGGTGAGAGCGCAAGAGGTCAAAGCCACTTTTTCTACCATTCTTCACTCCAGTCCTTGGGCACAGAAGCAGCTATACAAGACTTTGGGGACAGGGGAGGACTGTGTTGGGGCCCAGGATTGAATGACGGTACTACTCCAGCCCCCAACCTCAAAGCTGACCTTGCAGGAGTTAACCTGGTAACACATATACCAGACCCAAAAGCCAATGCTACCCAAAACAAAGAGATAGGAAATAGAAGACCCGCCCTTTAGCCAGCTCCTTTCGGCCCAGTTCAGGATCAGGGAGCTATGGGGTAAGGGATGCTGCCCCTTATGCACGCTAAAGCAACGGTCCCTGGCTAGCCATTTCTCCTGCTCCGATCCCCTCTCCTGCCCAAGCATATAAAGACCTGTCCTGGAGCTCGGGGCAGTGAACCAGGAACTGGCACCCCTACTCCTCTGGCATCTGCGCTGCATTCCGAGTTGGGGGAGACAGCCAGGAGTAGCTCCCATGACACAAGTACCCCCACTTTCCCTTCCCCAGAAAGCAGGTCTCCAGAGGGAGGGTAAGTCGAGGCAAAAGGCACCCTACAGAGAGCCGAGCAGAGTCAGCAGCCCCAGGCTTTGTTTCTGCCCAGTGTCTGGGAAGGACAGCATGGCTTCTGGGGGTCTGCCAAGGTGGCCTATTGTCTAGCACAGCCTTCGCCTGGGGGGCAATGGGGTGGGGAGGGGAGGAAGCAGCTCCAGTCGGGGTGAGCAGCAGGACCCAGCACCAGACCAGCAGTTAACTTAGTCATGACAGCCTGAGCTAGGCTTGCTGGGGTCTCCTGCCTGCTTACCTGCCGTCTGACCTTTGCCAGGGCAGAACTCCTCCTCGATTCTAAACCACCCGCTCAGAATCATGGTCCTGCCCCTTGCAGACCCTTCGGTGCCCAGCTCGCTTCTCTGGTATCCCAGCCCTCTCAGCCCTGTACACACACCGTGCCCCTCCCCTCATCCACGAAAGCTCCTGAAGAGAAAAGGCTGCTGCCATCTTGCCCTCCAAGAATGCACAGCTCCCTCGAGGAGAGCTCAGCTCCTGCCTCCAGGGGTGTCCCGAACTGGCCTGTGCACGTATTGTAAGAGGCTGGGCTCGAAGGGCTGATCTTCCCCAAAGCCACAGCCTTGGCTTGTGTTGGCCCCTCCAGCCCAGCTCCCTCAGCAAGAGTCTCTTGGCAATGCTGTCTGACCTGCTGCCTTGAATCGCTACCCAACCATCAGATGCTTTCTTCACGAAAGAGGCACCATGGATCTGGAGCCCCGGGGTCTGTGTCCAGCACTGTCACCCACATCTACGGGACCCTAGGCAAGCCCTCTGGGGCTGGCTTCCTGTCAGCGGAAGAATTGGATTCTTGAATCTTGAAGAACTCCTCTAGCTCCAAAGTGCCATAATCGTAGGAAGAGGGCCTTGAACTCCCACCTCCCACTGCCAACCAGTCATCCCAACACCTAGCATCACTATAGGACAGGGTAGACTTGCCCCCATAAGGTTTCCAAGGCTGTCGATCCTTACAGACTGTCGCGACTGTCTCCCGTGGAGCAGCCAGCTGTGCTAGGTTTGAAGTGCTCTGCTCCCTGTTGGCAGCCACATGCTTAACTGCTATGCCACCAAGGCTCTTTTGGAGAGGGCCATAAGCCCTCCTGAATAGCGGGGTGGACCTGGTATTACAGAAATGTAAGCAGAAAAACTCAGGGCTTTGGCAGCAGTAATTCAAGCCACCAGCAAAACAATAATAATAATAATCCAAAACATACTTCTATTCAGTTGCTTGCTCCCACACTGCACATATACCCCTTCGGAGAATGTATCCCACTCTAAGGCATATGATGCTTTGGGAGTTCTGCTTTCATACATGTGCCACATTTAGGGTTACCTGTTACTCTGAGGCACATGCATACATTAGGGTATACACACGTGGTGCATACACACAGTCTGGAATGGATGCCGAACCTGACATAGAGAGCATCCTTTGACAGGTGTCTCTGTCGTGTGTGAACACAGCTTTCAGTGCTGTGTTAATGCAGGTGACTCGGGGAAGACAATCCTCTGGGGTCAAGAGTACAGACCTTGGAACCAGAAAAGGCTGGATGTCAAGGCACTGTCCTGTCCCCCTTCCTTGCCGTCAGTCATGAGCAAATGCTGTGAGACTGTTTCTTCGCCTGCAATAAGGGTCCCCAGTTCACTAGTGCCCGACTTCTGGGTAAACCCTTTCCCTGTCAAGTTAGGTAAAGTTCCCCTCACCTGGAAGAAAACAGACCCCTATTTACAACAAGTTCTTCATCATAATCACCATCACTGGCAACAAAGAAGCTTCAAAATCAGGTGAAAGCCTTGAAGCCTTTTCATGAACTAAAGCCAAAAACCCAAGTCCATCAAGTCAATGTTAACTCGTGGTGACCCTCTGTAAGATTTTGTAAACCTGTATATCTTTATGAGAGTAGATAACCTCATCTTTCTCTCATGGGGCAGTTGGTGGGATTGAACCGCCAACCTTGCTGGTAGCTGTGCAATGCTTACTTCACAGCACCATCCTGTACTAACCAAAAATTCCAAACCACTGCCACCGAGTGGATTCTGATGCATAACTCAACTGCCCCTGTGGGTTTCTGAGACTGTAACTCTTTAAGGGAGCAGAGAGCCTCGTGGTTCCTCCTTGGAGCAGCTGGTGGTTTCAAACTGCTGACTTTGCAGTTAGCAGCTCGACACGTCATCACTATGCCACACAGCTCCTCCTCATCCTGAAATAAGGCTAAGAGACAAGGGCAACTACATTCGAATTACGTGAGTTACATTCTAATTCAACTGAAAGGCAAACTTAAGAACCGGGAACTGCCTTACTTCCCTCATAGAGTTCTTAACCCTCCTGCCAGGGGGTCGATGCTGACTCACAGTGACCTTAACAGGATTTCTGAGATCATAAACTCTTTATGGGAGCAGACTGCCTCATCTGTCTCCCTTGAAGCAGCTGGGGGGTTTGGACAGTCCAGTGACTGAGGCACAGCGCCACTATTGTCCTTGGAGAGCTCACCACCGTGCCTCGCACACAACAGACACCTGCTCACTTTGCCAGTTCCAGGCAAGTATCTCATGATGTACGTGTTGTTTTAAATTACAAAATATATAGACAAGAGCCAGATGTCCCGAGAGTCCTGTGTGTGTGGAAAGCCAGATAACACACAAGACCATTTGATTCACATTTATTTCACATTTGATCTGTAAACTTTTTTATTTAAAAAATAATAATCCACTGCCAGTAGCAACACGTGCTGACATGAGCTTGTCGTTCATTAAAGAAGAGCGCAGGCCGTAAGGAGTCTCGTCTAAAACCTGAAACCTGCAGAGACACTGATGTAAACACAAGGCCTCCACCCGCCTGCCCGGACTTTGGGGAGAGCGGTAGGGGTGCGGTGGGGTGGGGGATTGTCATCAATCACGTGATCTCAGCCAGAAAAGGAGAGGGGAAGGGGTTGGACAAACCTTTTGCTACCTCCTGGGGCAGGGACTGTACAGTAAGGCAGGCCCATTTGCCTTCTCCAACTGTTTACCTTGGGCCAATTACATCAGGTTTGTTTCTTCCACATAATTTCCACTCTGCGTCTAAAAACAGCAGCTCGAAGATTTCCTGGGAGTCAGCGCTTTCAGGGAGGAAGGGGGCGCACAGACAGACAAGAGAGAAACAAACTTATTCTTCAAGCAGTGCCCAACCCGACCCCCTCAGCAAAGGAGGGGGCACCGGAAGGAGACACTGTCAAGTGAGTGGGGCGAGTGTGCCGTGTAGCACAGGAGAATGGCTTTATACACAGGGCCCATGCGAGGCAGCCAGGTTCATTTACGGTATTTCTGTCTTGATCCATCATTGTAATATTGACATGGCGAAAAGGCAATTATGCTGTTAGGCACAGGAAC